TTTATTAATAAATTTTGATCTCTTACCATGGAGCATAAAGGGTGAAAATACTGATACTGCGGAAAATATAAAATTTATCTAATACTAGCGAAATGTTAAAAATCTTTGCTTAAAAAATGTTAGCATAAAAGACAAATGGAAATTTACCTGAGAAGAAGACATTTATGTATGAGAAACAGGAGATTGTAAACGATAGACTTTTAAAGGCAGTGTTCATCAAATACTTGTTTCGAATCAGGTATGTTGTAAATATATTACATTTACAGTGATAGGTAAATATGAGACTTTCTTACTAGCTTTGGTAAAATCGTTTTCATTTTACATTTTGGATTGGGGTGAAGGTTGCAAATGTTAACTGGATTGAGGAGGAAGTTGAAAGGAGACCTCCAACCTTTAACAATGGATAAGTAACAGGAGTGGGTGGCAGATAATAATCAGAAACAAAGCTTGTCAATAATGCCCTTCAAGTTGAGTTTTAAGAATCTGCATTTCAGAGGCCTGTGGTTTTTAGTGTGGAACAGAAAGATCATCCATCTCACTGAAGGCCGCCCAGAGGAAATAGTTACTGGGATCTCTCTCATCTTTCCCCTAAAAGAATGTGTCTCAGAGACTCATTACACACCTTTCTGAAACCATGACTTTCCATCCAGAGAATTTTTAGTCCTGAGATCCTGTGGGCAGATTCCATCTAGTTAGTGATGACCTAGGAGCTGAATATCACTGAATCTCTGTTATGTGTCCTTGGACACAGTTGAGTATCCTTGCTGGAACAGTTAGTAATTGACCCACCTGATCTGCTTAATGCTGCTAATTTTTGTTGGTTCCATAAATCCTCCTCTGAGATGACTTTGATTCACTACATGCTGTTTATCTGTTCTTGGACTATCAGATTTCAACTTCTTTAACACATATGCATTAGAGTTATTATTATGATGCTCTTCAAGCTACTAAGAAGTATTTTGTAGTATTGGAAGAGGCCAGGCAACTTTTTCTCCAGCTCTGTTTAGAAATTATTATGCACCTTGATAGTCTTTAACATAATTTTGGATTTTAAAAAATACTCTTTAGTTTAAAGATTTAATTCCTGGTCATTGTACAGAGGAACTCTGCTTTAATTTTTTTTCCTTTATTGAATATTTTGGAAGAGTTTCACTTTCTATTGTAATGTTTGTGTTTCCATTTATTCTTGGTACTGATGGAAGAGGAACTAGAAGAATAGGAACCAAAAATGTATTGGTATTCTTTTTAAAAAAGTGCAGTCATGCTGTTTTTCTATGCATGTTATCACTTCATCTGTTATCTGCCTTTTTTTATATGACATTACTTTGCTTGCTACACATGGTTGGTTTAGACACATTAAGATCATTTACAATAATTTTCATGATATAGTGATAAATTACTTGAATTTTAAGAAAAATATTTTATACATATTTTCATTTTTATTTCAACTTTAGGTATTTTAAATAGATCTTTAAAATAGTGCACTGACTAGAAAGCTAGTTTCTTTTTAAATAAAGCTTGATGTTTTATTTCCAGGTGACTCATTCATAGATATTTAAGAAGTGGGCTATGTAAAACTACGTTTTGCCCCAACCTCCCCTCCCCACTCCCCCAAAAAAAAGAAAGATTGCTGAAAGGGAAAGTTGAGGATTACATTATTTTGAATTATTGTTTAGGAATGTTTAGACTGTGTCTCTTTGAAAGGAGTGATTCAGGGGGTATGTTCTGGAGTCAGCCCACCTGAATTTAGGTTCTAGTTCTACTTTCTATGAGCTCTGTGCCTCTGTCCAAAATAGCAGTGACAATGGCACCTACTTATGGGGTAGAATGAATGTGATAGTTCTTGTGAACTTCAGAACACTGACTGTCACCTAGTAAGTTAACTGTTATTTGGAGAATGAATTAAGAATCTCTTAAGAATATGAAAAAAAGTGAGAAAAGACACTGCTTGCACTCTTATCTGAATTGCCTTCTTTCTTACAATATCTGAAATTGTGTGGACCCATTAACACATTATCTAGTGGCAGCTCTCAGTCACTTGGATATCTGAATTTGTCTCAACATATTGAATTCCTTCCAGTTTCTAGATTATGTTGAGAAAGGCGTGACAGGGGGAAGTTAAAGGAAAGGAGGCAGTTGCTCTATAGGGCTCATGAAAGCAGGTTTGTGGTGGGACTTTGATTACCTGGAGAAGGGCATAAAACCTAAGGCAGGTAGAAATGCCTGTTAGAAATGCCATGTTAGAAAACATGTCTGGAGAAAGCTGGCTGAACATAAAATGCACATGCTGGGGTTTTGCCAAACTATATCAAAATGCAAAGAGCAGTTTGTTTTTATTCAGCATTTCCTAAGAACCTAGTAAGTGCCACGGAAGAGGGAAGGAAATATGAATACGTAGATACGGTCTTTAGGGGGTTTCCCCATTGGGTGGCTCAGTGGTAAAGAACCATCTGCAATGCAGGAACTGCAGGTTTGATCCCTGGGTCCAGTGTTCTTGCCTGGAGAATCCCATGGACAGAGGAGCCTGGCAGGCTACAGTCCATGGCGTCACAAAGAGACAGACGTGACTGAAGCGACTCAGCACTCAGCACGTGGTCTTTACGCTTGAAGAGCTTACAGTGTAGTGGGACTCCGACATTTATGTGAGTAAATGTTTTGAGTAATACAGTGTGAGGCACTCTTGCTGATCAAATACTAGAGGCATATGCAGACACAGACAAGGGAGGAACCGCCTTTATGCAGGAGAACCAGGGGAATTACACAGAGGATGTTAGAAAGGACCCTTTGGAGAAAAGGGAAACTCCATACAGAGAGTTGCCTCTGTGAGGACTGGGGACCTGAAGAAACGTCCTTCTTTTGGTTGGAGAATCACGGATGATGTTTGTTCTCCAGTGGTTTGGATCAGATTATGAAAGCACATCTCTTGTCATTTTAAAAATTGGGATTGCCTCTCTGGAAAATGGGGAGTCTTTCCTAGAAAACTTCTCATTACCACTGTTGTAAATATTTGTAATTATTTTTTCAGACATAAATATAACAAGATCATGATTAAATTATAGTTTATTGAAAGTGTATGATAGTAGATTCTGGGAGTACTGGTACCTCAGAATTATGCCTGGCAAAGAAAAAAATAAAAGCTTTTGATTTCACTTTACGTTAATCTTGTTGTGTGCTTTATTCATCAAAAAAAAAAAATTATTGTAAGTGAAAAGTCTACCCTTTCACTACTAATTTTATGATTTTACCTCTGATTGTCTCAACATACATTTTTGTGAGCTCTATACATTTTATTAAGTTCTGAACATCTATCTATAGATGACTAACCTCTTAATAATATGAGTTAAATAACAAAAGATGGTAAGCATAATCATCATTGCCTCATGGCATTTTAGACTTGGAAGAAGTTCTGAGGTTCACTTGGTCCAACTTTTAACCTAATGCAGAATTTTTATGACATTGTTGCAGGGAAAAAATGCATAGCCTCTGCTTGAATAGTGTGGATAATAATAATAATAATAAGATGAGTTGAAAGCTTCCTAAGGCTATTCATTTCTTAACATCTTTTATACTTACAAAGATTTTCATTATAATCATCTATCAATACTTTCTTAAAAGTTAAAATTACTAGCACCATTTCTACCCTCTGGAGACTAAATGAGTGTAATTCCACTCCCATCTGATGACCATTGAAATACATTATCATTTAAAAGGGGGTAAGATTAATATGCCCTCTTTTCCTGTCCCCTTAACATAAATTTCTTTAAGACAAGAAACACCTCAGGTATCTTCAATGTGACATTACTTTCTGGATGTCTTTACTCTCCTCTAGAGCTATTGTGTTGGTCACTCAGTTTTGTCCGACTCTTTGAGACTCCGTTGACTGTAGCCTTTCGGCTTCTCTGTTCAAGGGATTCTCCAGGTGAGAATACAGAGTGGGTTGCCTTTCCCTTCTCCAGGGAATCTTCCAGACCCAGGGATGGAACCTGGGTCTTCTTCATTGCAGTCAAATTCTTTACTGGCTGAATCACCAGGGAAGCCCAGCAACTTATAAATCATCTAAGTGTGCATTTTACATCATCTTGTCATCATTTTATTTGAATTTGGAAAAAGAGAGGATAGACATTTATTTTTACTGAAAAGTTGTACACTTAAAATGAATGGGATTGGGAAATTCGTACATTGGGGCTAGAATTTGCCACTCTTTTTAAGTGTTCATAGTCCGAAAGAACTTGGTTATATAGTGCGTGAGTGCTGAGTTGCTTCAGTCATGTTTGACTCTGTGCAACCCCATGGACTATAGCTTGCCAGGCTCCTGGGCTTAAATTGAGTTAGGGTTGCAATCAAATTCTTTTCTAAAATATTCAAAATATCCCAATATCAGTTAAACATTTTAGGAAAAACATTACTTCAACATTTTTGCCCTCACTGTTAATTATAACTCAGCCATATTCAGTTGAGAGTAAAGAACTGTGGATTGAAGTTTTCTTCTGATTTTGCCTAGAGGGACAAATCATGCTGACACTTTCTCATACATTTTTGTGAAACTAAATGGAAAGGTTAAAAAAAAAATGAAATTTCTGTCTCCCTTCAGTGACTTGGCTGAAGATTTAGGTCATTTGGGACAGAATATGAATTATTTTAGGGCACCATTTAATACGGTATTTCTGCTGTATGTTGAACTCGCTAAACATACATACTCGCTAAACGAGTCCAGAAAGCCTTTTTCATTGCTTCTATGCTGGTTGACTGATGTTGCGAGGGTTGTGGATATAGAGTTTAGGCCCCAGTAATCATCATCTGAGTAAGCACAATGGAAAATTTGCTTTAAAGAATCTTGTAACAAAAGGTGTAACCAACTTTTGATTTGTAATGCTTGAATTCTCTTGAATGTTATTTCATTCTTTCTGAAATACAGGATGAGGCATGACACTACCCAATCACAGTCTCATTGTTGGGTACTTTCTATGTAACATATGCTTTGTTTTTGTTTTTCTCAAAAGGCGTTTAAACAGAAATCACCTTCAGCTGTTTCCTGAGTTGCTGTTTCTTGGGACTTCGAAGCTATACAGGCTGTAAGTAGACAGAAATAGTTATTGTTGCTCTGTGTAGTACCTTGCGTTTTATTAAATGTATTTTGGATCTGTTTCCTTGCGCTTTCCTGGAATCTATTCACCAGTAGATTAATGGATTAAAAGTTTGCCTTTCTTTTTTTCTTTTATTGAAACTTATGATTGGTTTTCCAGTGGTTCCAGTTCTTGTAGTTGGTTAGCATTTACTGGTTCATGTATGTGTTATTGCAGTTGTATTATTCTTTTTTGGTCTTGAGGAGGAGATTTACCTAACTTCTTTATGGAAACTTTTGATTAAGTTCTGAAGGGAAAGATTGCCACTGTGCTTCCTTTCCAGAGGAAGTTGGCAGTGTATTCTTGTAAAGTTGGGATTCTTAATGTCTGCCTTTTTGATATCGTTTCTATACTCAAGTAGTCTTTATTAGTCTGGAAATACTATTATAAGGTATTTATAGAGGACTGTAAATTTCCTCTTAAATTTTCCTTTTAAAGCCAGAATTCCAAACTCCATGATATGAATGACTGTAGAGGGTTTCATATCAAATACGTCATCGACTGTTAATGGAAGTATTTCTTTGAAAGGAGTGTAGTGTGGGTTTTAGGCAGAATCATTTTTTTCCTCCCTGGAATGCTTGTTCAGTGACCGAATGTGCAATGGTGAAAACACACTTTTGACAGCTCTTACAAGTAGGTTTTTAGCCATATGAATGGTTTTGTGCATATGGGAGATAAACTGCAAAGTGTTGGGGAAATTAATACAATGGTTATCAATGTTTGTGGATGTTGTGAAAAATCATTGGGATATACAGAATAAATCGCTTAGTTTGACTTCCTTCTGTATGGTTGCAAAGTCCCATGTGTGGAGCTTGTGGGGAAAGTGAGGAGACTGGTTTTCCGACCTTGACTTTGTAGCCAAGGCTTCATAACCTACTAGTTCAGTATTGTTGTTATCAATTCCAGAAGTAGGAAGGATCTCTTCCCACAGCCCTCCCCCACATTGTATCTCTGTTAGGATCTCTGTTAGGGCCTCCTGACACCTTGGCTCACTGTGGAGAGAATTTTCCCAGCAGGCCAAGATAGAGCCAGTTACACACCAGGTCTTGTCTCTAGAGTCTGACTTTCCTGATTCTATTCCTCTAAGGATAGCCAAAGTCGCCTAGCAGTATTTCTCTTCTGCTTTGTGTTCCCTGCTGATTAATTGGCTCAATTTAGGTAAATTTAAAAGAATCAGATAAAGAAACCTTGAGACTGCCTTTTTAACAAGAATTCTCTAAAGACTCTTTTTACCAAAGACACTGGATGTAGGCTGTTATGAAGATTATGTGGATGAATATAAATTAATATTTATATTTAAGTATTTGTGCTTCATTTCCAAGAATGGATACAGAAGTGGTTTTAATAGTATTCTACTTTCTTCCTTAACTTTTTGATTGTGCAGATGTTGAAGAATTGATTTCAAAGCTAGTATACAATGAGTGCTATTAAATTAATTTACTACTTTGCTAACAATGTGCATCTAAAACAATCGACATTGTCTAGAAAATTGTCTGTTTTCTATGTGGCTGTGAAAATATAATTTAAATGGAATGATTGGTACAGCTAGAATTTAAATTGTTATGCTGAAGAGGGGAAAATGTAGGAAATAACTTTAACACTGTCCCTGAGAAACTAGAATGTTTGATTTTTAGTTGGAAAGTATTTGGATTAATTTTCTTTGGGTGGTATAATCTAGTGCAGAATCCCCTATCAGCAGATCATGTTCTGTTTAGCATTTGCCTCCTTTGACAATACCATGTAGTGGGCTGAAGGTTTTTCACTTATGTTACATTATGATTTTATAACCTTATGAAGTTACTTTTTGGAAGAGACAACTTGATATCCTTAAGTGAATGAAAGAAACAGAACCCATGAAACTCTAAGGCAACATCTTCTAGTGAGTTAAAAGCATGTTAAAAAATGGGGAAAACGGGCAGCTAGAAAATGAGTTATAATGTGCCTGTTTGGCTCAAAGGATTTCCCCTGGGAAGTAATGGAAGATAAAACTTTGTTTCTGATGTGGGTCTATGAGGACTCAAATGCTTTGATTTTCCTTAAGTTAGAGCTTGATGGCTTTGTGTTCACTATTGACTGGGATGTGACACCTGACATAGGCACTGGATACCCATGAAAACTTAGAGGTGTACATTTTTTCTGCGTCAGAAAACAGGAATCTATCTTCTTTTGAGTTGAGGCACTGTTGTCTCACCCTAATTAGATGTAGTGGATGGTTAACCATGATCTTTTTCTTGAGAGGAAAGTTATCAGCTACATGTGACCAATTTTTTATGATGATGATCAGTAATTGAGTTAAACAACCATCAGTGAGAGTATATAATAAATAAAGGAACAAAAGCTTGTGAGGTTAACTGCCTGGCTAGTTTAATTTCCAGGAAGATGGGTTCAAGTTCGAGTATTCTTCATATGATACAGGTGCCTAGTAGCTAACCCAAAACAAATGTTCTAAACAGATGGAAAAATCTGCACAAATCTACATGCAAAAATTGTCCTTTAAAATCTTCTTTTAAAAATGAACTTTTATTTCACAAGAAGGGTAAGTGACAGGACAAAGGATACAGGATTTTGGACAGCAGTACGTTGGGAGAGGGAAAATTTGACTGGTGGCTAATTTGCATATTAAGTGATCTACTGTTGCCCACCATATAAAGGCAACCCACTCCAGTATTCTTGCCTGGAAAATTCTATGAACGGAGGAGCCTGGTGGGTTACAGTCTATGGCATCACAAAGAGGCAGGCATGACTGAGTGACTGAGTACACACACACACACAATTGCCCTACTATATAATTTAGTGGAGCTATGCTCATCTAGAATTCCTGAAAGAAACAAATTTAGAATTTATTATCTCTAGTTCTATTCCTAACTTATTTTCTATTTTACCGTTACTTAATACTGTTGTTTCTGGACATGGAATCGATGAAAAACTTTCTTATTTTTATAGTTCACACAATGATTTTTATCACTGTTTGCTTAGATTAAATCTAGTCTGTTCCACTGGACATTATACAGATTTTGTTTGTGCTTCTGTAAGGAATAATCACCATTTGACTCTTGGCTGAAAATGAGATGCCAGGTGAAGAAGCACACATGTGTTTTTTTAAAACTCTAAATGCAATATAAAAGAAAAGGAGGGTACACTGTATATGAATTATGATTCGACACGGTTAGTTGCTGCTAGCGGCCAAATATGCTTTTCCTTTGCTGTCTGCTCCAATTTCTCTTTGGACGGGTTGAGAGAGCACTCCGTGTTCAGGTCAAGATGTTTGCTCAGAAATAGTAGTACAGTTGCAGCTGTGTGTGCTGGAGCAGGAGACTAGTTTAAATAGCATTACCATTTATCCAGTCCATTAACAGAACTCTGTAAAATAATACCAACTCTGCATAAACTACAGGACAGTGTAATAAAATTACAAGCACTTGTTGACAGATGGGAAGTGTAAGTAAAGAAGAAAGAAAAGTGAAGGGCCATAGGTTGGAGGTTAAAAGAGACAGTACATACTTTTCTTACTTATGGAGATTCTCCATCCTTTCACTTGGCTCCTCCTCGAAAACCAGGATTGCTTTTTGTTATCAGTTTATTAAGAGTGGAGAACATGATTTTCAGAGCAATTCAGAGTGGGTTAGCTGACAGAAGTACAGTGACGTTTGAAATGGTTGCTTGTGATGGAAATTTATGAGTAGCATATACAAATCTTCCTGAAAAGTATAACCTTTAAGGTGACTTGGCAGTGAGTGAGTCACACTTTTCGGCCTGAGTTTGCAGCTACTCATCTGGGCTCATTAGAGAGGCATTTCATTGGTAGTTCTGTGGTTAAGCATTTGGTTATAAATATTTGTTTTGTGGTTTTCAGTTTATTTCTTTGAGTATTATTATATTTACCCAGACTTCTAACATAAGCTTAAGTAGCCAAACCATGTTGCAGAAACTCATTTTTCACTTGTATCTCTTGAGACAAAACAAAGCTAACAAATGAAAATAAATACATAGGTTCCAGTGATTCATTTTCTTTGCTTCTTTAAGTGAAAACTCTTTATTTCTGGTTAACAAGTGGTGTTTCCCTTGTGAGCTTTGGAGCCACTAAATTATCTAGCATTATAAGTAGTATTATTAAAGCCAAGGACTCTTTTTATGGCCTAGTGACTCCTTACCTGAGATAAACAGATTTTGAGCAATAAATTCAGTTGCTCAGATCACAATTCATTTGCTGTCAGATAGGATCTCAGATTCTCAAAATTGTCTTTTTGGTGATAATTATTACAATTCTTTAAGAGAAAAAATTTCTATTAAAATAAAAATTAATTTGGGAAAGATAATAAATATATGATGAAGCTGCCCTTATTTTCCTTTCCTTTCTTATAGAAGGAGCCTTGGCTTTTGATTTTGGTTTTGAGGAGTTACAAGAATAAATATGCTTAATGTTATAAAGGTCTAGATAATTCAGAAAAATAGAAAAGTGGGAGTATAAATTATTCATGATCTCCCCACTCAGGTATAACCACTAGTATACTTGTTTATTGTTAGTAGATTAGTTTTCTTTTTCTGTAATTATGCATATAAATACTGCTGTACACGCATTACAAATACATTTTTTAAATATCCCCAGGGTTTAGTATAAAGCTTGACCTTTAGAAAGCTCTCAGTAAGTGTTTGATATATTGAATTAAATCTCCGCTGGGTTCAGGGTTTGTAACTTGAATGAGCAAACAGTAACACTGGGAAGGCATTATGAATAATGGGGAACCAAATTAAATTTAAAGGATACCTTGGTTCATTAATGTTTGTCCCCTTAGGTTTTCTAAACATTGAAGTGTCTATTGGTATGCACTGACAAATCAAAATGATGTTTTCCACCTAAGCAAAAATATCTTAATTTCCTATAATACTATACTTGTATAAAACTACCACTGCACCCCTCCCCCCGCCCCTGTTCTCTGATGCCAGTTAAG